AAAGTTTCACACAGAAATAAGCAACTGCAACCTTACGCCACTCTAATGCAATTCCACTTAAAGGGAAATCACAGTACACCTAAATTTGTGGTCCCCACTTTTCCACCAAAAACAATGATTGGTATCAATGCCTAGTGAATGCATTTCAAAAAGGACATGCCATCCATTTTTGCCTTCTGCTTGGAATGGTAGAATATGTTAGATGAATAGGTATCTTTTAAATATGATTGGTGAACTTCAGAGATAATGGGTACCAACCCCTTGCCTTCCCCTACCCTCAGCTGTCACTGTCACCTTAGGAATCAGGACCCTGTTTCCTTCCTCCCAAAACTTACTTGACCTTAGTTACTTCCTTGACCAATGGAATGCTATGGAAGTGACATTCTGGACTTCTGAGTCCAGGTATCACGAATATTCCAAGCTGGGTCTCATGTATGATTCTGCTCTGAATCCAACTTCCACCCTGTGAGAAACCCAAGCCATACAGAGGGGTCACTTATAGTTTTTCCAGCCAGCAATCCTTAATGAGCTTCCTGTCAACTACCAGCTATGTAAGAAGAGTATCTTCACTGCCAGTCCAATCAAGCCTCCAGATGATTATAACTTATTGTGCCGTCTGCCTACAATTGCATGAAGGACCCAGAGTAAGAACTACTAGGAAGAGCCCCGTCAACCAACAGAACCATAAGATGCACATGGGTGCATTCAGTTGATGTGGTTTTGTAGGTTCACTTGTTTTATTTGACTGACAGGGTAACACAGCAAGTCAGCTAGAGAGCAAGAGAGAAAACATGAGGGGGAGAGAGAGATTTCATCCCATGGTTCATTCCTCAAATGCCCACAAAGCTGGGACCAGAACTGACTGAAGCCGGGAACCAGGAACAGCACCTAGGTCTCCCGTGTTGGTGCAGGTGTCCAAGTACTTGAGGCACCATCTGCTTCCTCCCTAGCTGCATTAGTAGGAAGCTGGATTAGAAGCCCAACAGCCAGGTCTTGAACTAGCACTGTGCTAAGGCATGCCATCATCAGAAGCAGCTTGACCCAGCTGTTCCACAATGCCCATCCCTATACTGTTGTTTGAAGACACTAAATGATGACGTAAGGGTGATTTATTGCACACTAGCAGGTAAGGAAGAGAACAGAGAGAAAACAAAAGAAGTCCCCAAAATGTTTACCAAATTTCACACAAAAGCTTAAGACATACCTTACACACACACAAATTTCCAGGGCAGTGCTGTAGCATAGCAGGAGCCTGTAGCACCCTCATCCCACATGGGCACCAGTTTGAGTCCTAGCTGCTCCACTTCTGATCCAGCTCCCTGCAAATGCATCTGGGAAAACAGTGGAGGATGCCCCAAGTCCTTGGATCCCTGTACCCACTTGGGAGACCCAGAGGAAGCACCCGGCTCCTGGCTTCAGCCTGTCCAGCCTGGTCATTTTTGTTATCTGGGGAGTTAACCAGCGAGTAGAACATATTCTCATTCTCATTGTGTGCGCACTCATGCTAGCTCGCTCGCTCGCTGTCTCTCTCTCACCTTCTCTTCCTCTATAACTCTGCTTTTCTAAGTCTTTAAAAATTATTCCTTCTTCAAGAATCAAACCAAAGGATTTGTTTTGAGAAAGTTACCCAAAATTCAGGGACTTTTCCAAGTTGCAAACATTAAGTATTTTTTAAAAATATTTATTTATTTGAAAGGCAGAGTTACAGAGAGGGAGAGGCAGAGAGAGGTCTCCATCAGCTGGTTCACTCCCCAGATGGCTGCAACAGCCAGAGATGCACCAATCCAAAAGCTAGGAACCAGGAGCTCACTCCAAGTCTCCATGTGGCTGCAGGAGCCCAAATCTTGAACCAATGCCCATATAGGATGCCAGCACTGCAGGCGGTGGCTTTACCCACCATGCCGCAGCACAGGCCTCACATTAAGTATTTTAATTACCAGATAATCTTCAATCTTTTTGTCAACTACAAGGCAATGTGTTCAATCTATTCAATAAATATGAGTATAGGAGATGGTGATTCTATAAAGATAGAAATTTTTCAATTGGTATAGGAGTCAAGGTTATTTTTCATTTGATGAAAGCTAAAATTTATTTTATACCATGAAATGTTGTCTTTTGTTATGAACTTTAAACTGAGGGTTTAAGCCTTTAGGAGCTTCCCGAATGCTCTAATCTTTTCATTGCCATGCTTTCCTTTTGAATAATGACATTCTGAATTATTTAGAGTATTCTCAAAAATGAAAAATGAACTTAGCTTATTCTTTTCTATAATTTATAATAACTGATATATGGTGGAGTCTTTAAAACGTTCACAGAAAATGTGCATTACGGAAAAACTTTAGAGATTTTAAAATATCTTTGTATCAAGACAGACTTACCTTTTAATTCCATTTTCCATGATCTTTTTAAAGTTCTCTCATATTTTGATTAACTTAAAACACATTATATTTGGTTTAGATTAATAGTACAAAAATATTTTCTGAGAAAAATCAGGGAATAAAAAAATCAAGGATTTGAGTCATATTTAGGGTTTCACTGCATGTAATTTACATTCTCCCTGTTTTCCTTTTCTTGTTTTTTATTTTCCCTCAACCTATAGGATAATAGGAAACAATCTTAGCTCTGGGGTGGACTAAGAGACTGTGAGTATTCTAGGTCCGGAGACTATAGTTTGCCAAACCCCATTTTAGAACAAAAATTTATACACAACATAAATCAGCATGAAAATTATTGCTATTCCATCAGTAAAACTATTGGTCAAATTTTTTTAAACGTTGGATTATGTAAAGCAAATTTATTTCAGAAATTCTCAGTATATGTAATATGTGAATGCACAGTGTAGATAACCGAGAGATATGTGTAGTACCCCACACTTCCTAAATACATTTTAAATTTTTCTCTAATAGAGACACAGGGAAATACAGAGTGTGAAACAGAGCTCTTGTCTGCCACTTTGCTCCCCAAATGCCCGCAACTACTGTTATATATTAATGTTAGCCATCACAAAACACACCGAATGCCGGAATAAGAGAGTTTATTGGGGAACACCCAATAGACCGGCGTGAAGGAGCGGTGAAGGGAGAGATGAGAGGAGCCAAGAAAGGAGAGAGCAGAGAGGAGAACCAAGAGAGCACAAGTTCAGGAACAGGCCCTTTTAAAACTTTGCCTGAGGGCGGGCAGGGAAGCAGGAGCATGGAATCCCATTAGGATGGGGGTGGAGCCTGGCTCAGATAGCTGGGCCGTGGGGCCACCTGGCTAAAACTGTGCCAGTTTCCTAACACTACCATGACTGGGCCAGACCAAAGACAGGAGTCAGGGATTCAGGCCATGTCTTCCCACTTGAACCATCACTGCTACCTCCCAGGGTCTGCATTAGCAGAAAGCTGTCATCAGGAGCTGCAGTCAGGGCTCAAACTCACGTCTCTGATGTGAGACAAAGGTATCCTGATAGCTTAACCAATGAGGCCACATACCTACCACCACCACCCCCATTTTTTTTACTTTTGAAATGTCAGTTACAATATCTTAAAGGGGATGTTGTTGTCCATAAAACACTGTTGGATCACTTTTAGAGTAAAATCTGAGTTTAAAGAAAATTACTAAGGAGTGTGTGAACTAATTAAGAAAGCTGAACATTGATGTTGCTTTAGTTCAGTGGAGTCTGGATAGTGTGGTACTGGTAAGAATTGTTCTAATGTTGAATTTAGTTCCTGAATTCACCTGGATTAAATGCCTCCTGTACACTGCTGTGAATGCCTGTCTTTTCACGGGAAAGTCTTCTGAGTGGTGCCTGCCAATTTCTTAGGGATGGTGGGCTGATGTTCAGGTCAGACCAAAATAGCAGCTTCTGTGCTCAAGTGCTAACTGCCAACCTAGAAAATTACCTCTCTGACCAGAAAGTTGCTGCAAACAAAGTTGCCATTTTCTTGCTTTCCTTTTTAATGTGCCTGACAACTTTAAAATAGAAACTAGTAAGAAAGTTGTTTTCCCCCTGATGTGATAAAAGGCTCAATAAAAGAGGAGTTAAAGTAATTGTCTAAGAGGAAAAATTTGATGACCTCAGCTTTGTTGCCCATGGAATTTTCTTAACCCCTTTGCTCGGGGTCATTGATATTTTAGTCTACCAACTGCATTTTTCTTTCTTTGCAGTTATTCATGTTGTCAGCCAAGTTATAGGAGAGTAGAGAATAAAGAACATAAGTCCATGTGCAGCTCTGTTATGTATTAATGATGTGACTTTAGGAAAGCCATTAACTTCACTTTGTGAAACTTAAGTGGTAGAAATTAAATGGCATAGCAAATGTAAAGTTTTATATCATACACGTAATATGATTTATGTCTCTTGGGGTAGGCATTTGGTTCAATAGTTCAGACCCCATTTGGTACACCATCTTCCCATATTAGAGTGCCCAGGTTGGAATCCTGGTTCTGCTTCCCATACCAGCTTCCTGCTAATGCTTACCATAAGACAGCAGGTTGTGTCTCATGTACTTGGGTGACTGCCACCCATGTGGTAGACCTGGATGGATTTTTGGGGTCCTGCCTAGATCCAAAAGTTGCCAGCATCTGTTTCTTTCTACCTTTCAAATAAAATGAAAATATTTTAAAAGTGACTCATCTTCTTTGCCTTCTCCCTTCTCATTCCTGTTGCCTAGTTAACTATCAATTCTAGGACTGCACAGCAAAACTTTAAACAACAACAAAAGAATCAACAGTAAAAGCCCAAGATTTAAGATAAGCAGCAGGAACTTCAAAAAGTTTATGCAAAATGGAGTTGAAAGATAAGTTTGTTTGGGTGACAAATTATTTTGGCATTCCTGCATAGCTCTTTTTTAATAGTATGAATTTCCTGTGAATTTGTTAATACCAGTTGTATTTATTGAGATGTACCCTTGCTTTGTGAAGAAAATCTAGAAATTAATGATCCTTAAGTTAGTAAGATCCTTAAATGAGTAAGGTAGGGGTACTGGTTTCTCACAAATAACTTTCTTATGGACAAGACTTCTTTTTTTTTTTTTTTTTTTTTTTTTTTTTTTTTTTTTTTTTTTTTTTTGTGATATAAGCAACACCGTAGTGGCTTTCTATGTCTGAAAACCTTCCCTATCTTTTCCTGTCACTCATGTCTTCCTGTCAAGTTCTGTTATTAGCAGAGAATAGCATATTCACCGTCACAATACTTTCCCATGCTTGTTTTAGCAATTCTGTGGAACATGATTTGAGTTTACATTTTTTATATCTTCAACTCTAAAAAAAGCTCACCAAGAAAATATAAAGTGTCCAAATAGCTGTCAACCACACTTCCCAAAACATGATTTCTGTGTAGTTAACTGATTTTCAATGTCCACTGCTGAGCAAAACTTGACCAGAATCAATTCCAGAAAAGATAGTCCGAGAAAACCAATTGCCACAGGGGGAAAAAATGTTTCAAAGAACTGCCTTCCTCCAAAATATCAAACATAAATGAATTCCCAGTGGATTTCAAGTAAATTTTTAAAGAAAAGGTAACTGTAATGTTTATTATTTAGATTAGTCAAAACAGATGAAAAAAAAAAACACTGAATGTCTCTCTGAAAATAGTATTATATTAACAAAACCAGAGAAATTTAATACAACCCCAAACTGCAAATACATCCCATCAGATGAAGGGATGCCAAAATCCCAACAACATATTACCAGGCAAAGGACAGCAGCATACAAAACAGTAACCTAGAAACACAAGATGAGAAGCAATATAAAAATTCAAGAAGGTGTCAATATTAGCCAACGTATTAACATAATTTACCATAAAAAGTGAGCGTGCATCACTGTATGCTAAAAGACATGATATATATGTAAAAACTCATGTGTGTATATCTGTTTATAAATATAAAGAGATATGTACAATTGTATAGATATATAAAATATGTATAAAGAGATATGTACAATTCATAAGCTATTTATAACCTATTAATCATTGATATGCAAGAATCAAAATCCACTTGGTTTAGAAAAACACCATCAAGTAAGAATAAAATAATGCTCTTAAATATGAATGACCACAACCCAAAATCAGCACTTGATTTATTGGAGATAGACTAAAAGAATTCTCTTTATTGCCGGGAATAAAGCAAGGAACCTGCTATCTCCATCATATTCTATTGCTTCAGAAATATCAACTACCGTAATTAAGATAAAATTATAATGACAAACTAAGAAATAAAATGACATGAATATTTATATGGAAAGTTGAAAGTTTAAAGAATCCAAATCAAAGCTATCATAGACAATTTAAAAATTCAGAATGTACTTGGGCACAAAAGTTATAAACAGAAATCAATAGCCTTTATATATTCAAATTATCAAAAACTGAAAAAAGGTACATAAGTAAACTTAACAGAAATATGCATAATCTATAAAGTTACTATGCAAAACACAAAAAAAGATGCAAAAATTCTCATTTTTGATATCATAAAGATACTAAGCTCTCCTGGGTAAGCTATAAATTAAGCTACAAATAAATGGACCAATAATAATGTATATGGAAGTAGATAAATTCTCTTGAAAGTTCACATGGAAAATTATCAAAAATTATTTGAGGGGCTGGTGTTGTGGAACCATGGGTTATGCCATGGATTGCAACATCAGCATCCCATACAAGAGTGATGGCTCAAGTCCTGGCTACCCTGCTTCTGATCAATCTCCCTACTGGCTGGCACTGTGGCTCACTAGGCTAATCCTCCGCCTGCGGTGCCGGCACACCAGGTTCTAGTCCCGGTTGGGGCGCCGGATTCTGTCCTGGTCGCTCCTCTTCCTGTCTAGTTCTCTGCTATGCAGTGGAGGATGGCCCAAGTCCTTGGGCCCTGCACCCCATGGGAGACCAGAAGAAGCACTTGGCTCCTGGCTTTGGATCAGTGCGGTGCACCAGCCACAGCAGCCATTGGAGGGTGGACCAACAGAAAAAGGTAGACCTTTCTCTCTCTCTCTCTCTCTCTCACTGTCCACTCTGCCTGTCAAAAAAAAAAAAATTAATTAATCAAAAAATTAAAAAAAAATCTCCCTACTGATGTGCTTGGGAAAGCAAAAGATGATGGTACAACTGCTTTGGCCTCTATTGCCCAGGTAGGAGATTTCAGTGGAGTTCCTGGCTCTCGGATTTAGACTGACCGAGCTGTGGCTGTTGCCGTCATTTTGGACATGAACCAGTAGGTAGAAGATTCTCTTTCTCTCTTTCTTTCTGTGTGTGTGTGTGTGTGTGTGTGTGACTCTGCCTTTCACATAATACTTTTTTAAGAAGTAATTTTGAATATTAAAGAAGAACAATAGAAAGGAGAATAAGAACAAGCAAATAATCAAACTTATTTAAGATTTATTTGCTTATTTGAAAGGCAGGGAGAAGGACAGACAGAGATCTTCCATCGTCTGGTTCACTCCAGATGGCCCCAACAATTGGGACTGGGCCAGGCCAAAGCCAAGAGTCAAGAGCTTTTTCTGGGTCTCTCATGTGTGTACAGATGTCTAGGAACTTGGCCCATCTTCTGGTGCCTTTCCAGGTATGTTAGCAGGGAGCTAGATTGGAAATAGAGCAGCCAGGACTTGAATTGGAGCCCACATGCTCTGCAGGCCATGGCTTAACATGCTGCACCACCATGCCAGCCCAGTAGTTAAACTTATTATATAGGCACAGTAATTTTAAAAATGAGATACCCAAATAACAAAAGAACCAAAGTAAATTAAATATTCTGTGAAGGTGACATTTCAGTTTGGAGGATTACTCAACAAAGTTTGAAAACATACTTTATGGGTATCATTTTGTAGAAAGTCAGTTTTTTTCATTCCGAGTAACAGTGCAAGTTGCAAAAACCTCTATGCAACTCTTAAAAATGTATAAAATTAAAAAACACTTATGCCATTTTAAAATGACATGTCACCTTTGGGAGTTTATTCTATATTTAAACATGTATCCTACCTCATTAATAGAAGAGTTAGAAAGAATACATCTTAAAAACAAGGAAAAGGCAAATGTTTCCTATAATAGGGTTAAACTTGTAATCTAGCAAAGTCCTGGTAACTCAGAGATGACCACAAAAGGCAGGGGAAAGGAAAGGATGACTATTCTTGTTTTACTAGAGTGTTTAACTGGGGTGTTTTTTTTTCCCCAGCTTTACCTATTAGTTTCTGAGAGGAAGATTGCAATACAAATGGTTTCCAAAGCTAAGAATCATTTGAGACCCACAGGAACACTGTGCTTGCCCCTTATGGCATTGTGGAGCTGTTTGTAGGTAAATGTTCACTGTATATTCATGATGAAATTAAGCTCAAAGCAATACTTTCCTATTTTTAATTCTTTTCATGGTATATACTTGTTATATGTTTACTATTGACACCTACTTTTGACAGTTTGAGTTACTCTATTCTAAGCTCTTGATGGGAAATGCAACCCCTAATGTTACCACTATCACTTTTACACCAGGATTTTTTTGTATCCTGCCAGATTGTTTACTGTTAGAGCTTTTAGAGCTTCCCTAAAAACCTTGTGATGAAATTGGGAAGCTGCTTTCTTGATGCTTAAATTATGGAATAAAATCCAAATGGTCCAACGATATATATAATAAATTGCAGGGTCCTGGCCCCATATGTTCTTAGTATTTGCAGTAGTTGCCTCAGCACGTAATTATACCTTTAATTTATATCTACACAAATATTACTATAATGTTAGAGATTGCTATGTCCTATAGAAACATGCCAAGCTGCTTTCTTAAAGTAATGTGAAAATATAATTTGTAAAACTGAAGTTTCAACCAGAGTGAATCCTATGATTTAGACTGCAAATTATAAACTAGAGGTGAAAAAAATTTATTCTTAACATATAGGTTTTCAAATTGTTACCTCTTATTCTTCCAATAGGCATGGAATCCTGATTCTCCCAAGCAAACAGTGCAAGACAGGGTTTTCAGAGACAGCTCTTCCAATTCTCCATTGAAAAGTAAAGGCTTCAGGTTAGATGTTTCAGAGAGACTAAAGAGTGCAGAAATGAGATGGGATTTCTTCCCCTTTTTAATCCAGTGCTGCTATTAGTTCTAGGGTTCACATCTGGGCATTGTCAGTGAATGCTGTGTCAGAAAGATCCACAGTCTTGGAAGGGAAGGAAGAGAAGGAAGGAAGGAATGTGAAAACTTTTGTTACTACCAGCGCTGGTAAGTCTTCAAGATTCCCAAGTGCCAATGTTTTAAATAACTATCTTCCTGTATTCCTGCTTCCTTTGATAAGCATCCTTGGAATACCCATCTTGAGGAATTGTGCTTACAAGGCACTGGAGATCAGATAATTAAAAACACCTTTTATTTGCCTTCAATATCTTCACAATCTGAAAGTGGAGACAGACATGGAATCAAATCGTGAAGGAAGAAGTAGAAGTTTGTCATAGACATGATGGTGGCAGAAGGGGAATCTGATGGGATCCGCTTAAAAGAGTAACCTCAAAAGACAAAACAGAAAAGCTGGACTTCAATACATAGACACAGGATATCTTGAAGCATCTTGAGCCAGGGCTAAATAGAGAGACAACTCTGATTCTCCAAATAGGCAGAATCACAGGGAATTCAGAGGGAGAGAATCAGATTGGGATTCCTCACCAGGTTTTTACCACCTGTAACAAACAGGGGAAACTCTGGGGTGTGCTTTTCTTCTTATTTCAATGCAAGTGATGGGAAAAATAGCAGAGGTTCTTTTTTCCCCAAAAATTAATCTGTTCCAGCATAGTTATAGCCATTTCATTGCCAAAACTCTGACATGTGGGCTTACTCCACTAGCCTAGAGTTGCATCAGTTCTAAAGTTTGGAATGAAGAGAATGATGGAGGGCAGAGAGAAGATCTCATGTCAAAATGCTTCAGTTATCATCTGCAACCTAAGGATTGGTATTTATCATTTGATGAGTAATCTGCTGATTCAACCTGAAAATTCAGTGTTACACCAACTGTATAACTCTAGGCTTCACACATATTTGGTGAGACATCAAAAAACCTATAAACTCAGATCAAATTTTGTTCACCTGTAATTTTTTGATTTTCCACTACATCATAATAGTAACACTTTGGTTGAACTAGTTGAGCTCTATAACTCATATTTTGCATATCATCATATTAAAATTTCACATTCAGTACTTACATCTTACAATCCACCCAACATTAAGTACTCTCATTTCTGCAAGCTTCAGTTATAATCACCATTTCACAAAATCTATAAATCCATTGTTAGGATGGACTTACCTAAGTATCTATATTATGTGTGTTTCTATGTGTATGGGTTGTATATTGTACCTCATATGCATTCTCAGCACCCACAATAGAAATTATTTGCACATAGTAGGAATTTTAAAAATCAAAAATATCAAGCATATGGTATTCCTAGTAAAAGGGGTAATCATATTTAATTAAATGTATATGACCATCTGGATTTAGAATTGGCCATGCAGGATAGACCTTCAAATGCTGTCACTATAACACCTGTAATGCACCGAGAGGCATTCAGGAAATATTCAAATCAATTTCTGAATTATTAAACAGGAAAAAGATGAGAAATGTGTTTTGCCAGGGTAGAAAATGGCACTTTGAAAACTGTAATTGTGAGCTGCATTTTCCCAACAAGTTGAAATGAGCATTTAGAACCAGCCATCCATGCCTTCGTTGAGCATGAGTACATGAGTGAGACTGGCTAACCATTGTTGGGTTCTCTCCCAGGTCCTCTGGCCACCAACTCCAGAAAGGCTGGAAAGCAGCTGACTGCTGACAGTCTGGCCAAGGGATCACTTGGGAAGTGATTAGGAATGGCTGATAACTGTCTCTCAGGAGTTCTGCTGAACTCAGCTAATGCAATTTTGCTTGTAATTTAAATCAAATTTTAGTCTATCCATTAAGAGATAAAGAAGCTAACATATCTTAAACCTGTCTTGTCTTCCTCCTCCCTTCACTCTTGCCACTATCCTGGCCAAGAATCCTGTAACATAATGGAAAAAGAGTCAGCAGTTATTGCTTAAGGTTCTGATTTCAGACAAAATGTCTTTTCCTTTGTCGGGACGCTTTCACATTTGGAAAGGACTCTACCTGAAACTGCAAAAATGGCCTATATGCTCAGTTTTCATTTTCTACTCTGAGGAGACTGTCTGCTTACTCTGTCTTGTGGACTCTGGCACAAAGCTTACACTTATTTCATAACCATTGTCATCTCCGAAATCCCTACTCATGTATTTTGCCTATCTAGTTAAATAGCATCAGAACGGTAGGGAAAAAAGTTACTAAAAATCTAAGTAAAAAATTACTAAATATGACCTTTTTCACACAATTAACATTCTGAAATGCAGTTGCTATGTTGTAATGTTACAGGATTATAATGACTATAGCCAGTTAGAAACTTCCAAAAAGGTGTCTTAATTAAGAAGAAAGTGGCATTGTTTTCCATACCAATTATAATATGAAATGTTTGCAGAGAATGCAAGTATAAAACAAGTTGTCAAGATATAAAGCTAAAGCTAAAAGCTTTGAAAATGCTGACATATGAATGTAAATTCCTTACAGTAGAATCCATCTGAAGAATGCCTCCATAGTCATTAAGACAATGTGAAAGTTTAGAAAGTTGTTGCATATAATGAATAATAGATCTATCCTTAGTGCTTAAAATTATACTTACTTATTTGGATGTGTTATTTTAAAGTATTTCTTTACATGTTGTATATAGGTTAAGTAATTTAATAAGGCATCATTTCAGAAATACTCGGGAAAATTTCCAGCTACATGATTCAGATACTTCTATTAACACACAGTAGGAACTTGTTGAGCTTAATTAAATTTGGTTTACACCAGCATCCATACTGAACAATAAATACGGCCTAAAGCAGCTTCCACACACAACACACCGTGCCCTGGCTTGTAACTTACTTTAGAAATCTACTCTTGTAACCATGAAATTGAGTCCTAGCTAATCACAGCAGCTGAACTTCAAGTCAATCTGAAGTGGAAAACTGCTAAAACATGATCCTATAAGTAAATGCTGGCTGCAGCCAATCAGATCGTTTGTATATGTCACTTCCTTTCCTGCATATGTGGTAGAATGAGACATTCTGAACCGGTTCTGATCTGGAGTCCTCCTTTGTTCTAGAACCTTATTCTTAAGTAAACATTGTTAAATTTAAATGATCTCGGCTTTTTTTTTTTTTAACATCTCTTGTTGACTACAGCAAGAGGCATTTATTGTTGCTTAGCGTGTGGCAGATCTTAGGCACTGTATGTGAATTATTTAGTTTTACAACAACCTTAGGAGGTATTATTTTGTCCATTTTATAGATGAATGAATGGGACATAAAAGTTGTAAATAACCTATAAAAGCTCTCATGGACAGCAGGTAGCCACAATGGGATTTAAATTAATTCTGTGAAGCCAGTGTGTTCTCTAACCCACTCTAATACACCATCTCCATGCTAATATCAAGCCTTGCTAAGGAGTGACCTTCAACCAGAATCACTGGTCCAGTCTTAAGAATGATGTAAGGAATGCCTCAGTCAATGAGACTAATGAATCTAGGACCCTGATCTATGTTTTTTTAATAAGGAGTATGAGATGCCTACTTGTTTATTTTGCTTTTTTGGCCCCCTCTGCTTCATCTTACCATCTGCAGGATATCCTTCTGCCATTCCCAGACTCATCTCAATATCTAGAGCACTTTTTTAAAGTCAGATCCTTCATCACAGTATCACTATCTATAGCAGACCCTCCCACTGCCTCCTATTTGTCCCTTTTGCCCTGGTTCTCCTTGCCTCCCATGTAGGTTAACTCTGAGGCATATTCTACATCTTTTCACAAACCTTCCCAAAGAGATTGAGCTTTAGTTGTCTAGCGTGGTGATTTACCTAATAACTGAAAAATATGCTTTGTCTGTTTCTTTTCTCTCACGCCTCAGTGTTTCCTATGAATTCTAGGAGAAGACAAATCAAGATACTATTTCAATTGATGTCAGCTTCTAATGGTCTCCCGCCAATGAATGATATTGATCATCACTAAAATTGTGTCCCTAGAAAATGAGTACCACTGCAAAGGAGTTTAGGAAAGTAAAACAAGCAAACTGCCCTCCTACTGGAGCTGATCAGAAGTCTACAGAGAGGCCAGGGCTCACCCCGAGATTCCTGCAGCCACCTACAAATCACTGCTGTCTGCCCAGTAACTTACCATTGCCTCTCCACTTAGTTTCATTTCAGGCACCACACAAAGAAGCTATTTGAAAACCTTAGGTTTAGAACATATGTTGGCTGGATGACACACTCCAACTGTGTTAGGATGATCCTGAACAGTCAGCAAGCATTTCTGAAAGTTCTGGTGACTGTGAATGTGAGTGAATCCTCAAAACTTTTCTAATTCTGTGCAGAATGATTCATAAAAGTCCTTTCATAAACCTTTATTCACTGCCCTTCAAGGATGAATTTCTGTACTGCACAGAAGCCATTTTGATCTATAACACTGACTTTTCTGCTATAAATGAGCAAAATGGGTGTCCCATCTCTAGGCATACTTGGTTATGCAAAAAGGTAACATTCACTGACACTTTGTGAGTAGTGTATTCAAGATCATTTGCCTATATGAGACAGGATCCATAAGTTTGAAAAGGTCACACAATATCTCATCTCCTCTGATTTTTGAACTACATAATATAAATATGGCATAGTTCTATTGGAGTAACAGAATTCCCAAAAGCTGCCCAAATTCAGAGGGAAAAATGTAGAGGTTTGAGGGAAGGAGCAAATCTCTCATTTTCCCTTGAGCAGTATCATTCAGTTTGGATTTTCTCCTGGAATTTCCAATATATTTAAATTTAGATTTATAATTTCCTATATATATATATATATATATATACATACACACACACAAATTTCATATGCCTTTCAAGACACTAATACCTTCTTGTCATCTTTGCATGGTATTGACCACTGAGCAATCCATTGACTACTTTCCTAAATCTCTTTAAAAAGAAAAATTTCATCAATAAGAAGTCAATATGTTAATAAGAAATAGAGAAAAAAATGCACCATTAAGACTGGAGGGATGCAGGTAGAGGAGACCCTTGACATGAGCCATACTAGTAACCCAGCTACTGAAGTTAGGGACAATCGAACTGAACGGGGTCTCACACTCATGTACCTTTACTCCTCAAAAGTTGATCTGACTTTTAAATCCAATTCTGATTCAATCATTGTGGTTTTTCTTCTGCATATTGTTTTGGGTGGAAATCCACAAGTTGTAATGTTACAAAGCTAGTAAAGTGCAATTTAGGGTTATACAACTGAAAATGAGGTGGTAAAAAGAACTGTTAAATTATTGCTTCAAGTCTGTGTAGACCATTTCCCACAATTGTTCTAAATTCAAATTGGTCACTTGTGACAAATAAGCAATACTTATGAACAAGTTTTGTTCTCCTTTCTGAAACTCTATTTAACATTTGAGATTGTGATTAGCTAAAATAGATTCTCTGAGTCAAGGCAAAATTACCTTCTTTTAGCCTTGACATCAGAGGAAGGAGGCTTCGTGCTCTATAGTTGTCAGAGGAAGAAAACAAACAACTTAAATCTATGACTAGTTACCAGCCAGAATCTGTTGTAATAATCATACTTTTGTGAAAATCAATTAAGAACAAGGCATTTTAATTCACTATCTCTAACCCTCATGAAAACCAAGAAAATAGGTAGTATTATTTTCTCAGAAAGAAACAGCAGCTGCAAGAAGTTACATGTGCCCCCAATCTAATAGCTAACACATAGCTGGACTTAATAGGTAAAGTCAAGTCTTAGTAGTTCCCAGAATGAGTAACTGACCATTTCCTAGCTTTAATTCATAACACACTTTAATGAAATGAAAACTTACCTGGAGCCTAATAAGTGAAACAAATAAAAGAGAACCTCTGATTATAAAGGAAAATTCTGGACCCTTACAACACAGGTTGCTTCCTTATTTTCCAACCCTCTCTACATCAACCTCAGTACTATACTGGAAAATTGAAGTCCCAAGGAACCGCAGTGTGGGCTTCTTCCCAGCAACCACAAACATGAGCATCCTCCTGTCTATCAGGAGTCACCAACTCAGATACTTAGATGTATTCCCATTGCAACCTTACTGCATTTTTGAGGAAAATGCAAGTTTCTCTGTCCCATGCATTCTACCCAGTTGCACCATGAATTTTAAAGTTATAGGTCTCTGTGGACCACTGTGGGTTTTTGTTGTTGTTGTTGAATTTTATTTTCTGAACCCAAATTCAAAACTCTGATTATTAAAGAATACAATTAATGAAAGTCTATGTAAACACATGATAGTTAACAGAAAGAGGGAAAGTTGGAAACATGGTACAGCACCCAAAAAGTTGATACTGTTTGCACTACTGTCTATTTTATAGTCATACATGCTAATATACGCTGTATGTATTTCAAAGCATAGTATGTGTGCATATAAATATAAAAAGTAAAATTAAACTCCACTATCTTTTCTGTGTAATACATATGAATTAAAAAAAAAAAATCTGCTAAGACATTCTCCCCTGGCAATGCTGCCAGGGGCAGAATGATGTTATTTTAAATTCTTCTCTCATTAGAAGAAAAGAGAGGCTGCTTCTTCTGAGTCTGTATGTATTTGTACCAGAGCTTAACTGGCATTTTCATTGTGGTATTTATGAATCATAATGCAGTTCCACCACAGTTTCTGACACACTCATTAATTTGTTCCCAGCGGCGGTTCATTACCAACATCACAAGCAAAACATGTGCTCTCCTGGGCACTCAGGGTCCACCGGAAATTAAGCAGACAGGGCTGCAAAGCCCCTCTGAGCAAAGCCAGCCAGCTACAGCTCCCGCAGCAGGCTGGGGGCAGTGCAAAGCAGCCGGGATGAAAGACAGCAGCGCCTTCCCAGGTGCCTCCTAGCCGCCAGAGCTCTCTGCAGACATACAGCAGTGATTCCCTGAAAAGGAGGGTGTCTTGCTCTCTCAGGGAAGCTCCCTCTCTGATCAGCCTCCTCTGAAGGGGGAGGAGCAGCAACTTTACATTCTTCATTCTTCATACAGGGGAGACAAGCTGTTTCCTGTCCTTCCACTTGGTTCTGCTTCCTGTAGGCACTGACCTTTCCCAGACAATGGGAAGTTGTGAGCCCCGGCTTGGAGTGCTTTACCACAGCGTCCTCCGTGAGGCATTAAGTAAGGCAGCACATTCCACAAGAGCAGTTCCCTTAATTTAGCTTCCCAGGAAGCCCTGTTTTATCTTAAAAGAAACTCATTGTTCTAACAACATGGCAGGTAGGAAACAAGAAGAATCCAGTTGTCTGTTAATGCTTTGTCGTCAGCAGATGCACAGTGCCTGGATCCTACCATGTGAGCGCTATGCTCAGGAGCTGCAGATCCAGGTCCACCCCATGAGCTGAGCAGCATGACTTCCAGGCATCTCGGTAAATCCTTCTGCTCCTTACTGCGGTTGTTCACACTATTGGCTATTTCTATCTGCTCCGTGTGATGGGCAAAATCATTGGGAAGTTGTGAGTGTTGAGCGCATGGGGAATGGCTTGGGGTATTCACATGCGACATTGCAGAGAGGGTTTGGCTCAAATCACAGGTTCACCACATGGGAGAAACCATGTCAACACTTGGCCCTGAGCTGAATAAGAAGAGATTTAGGATAAGAAAACAATACAAGGTCCTTCTGAAATCAGACAGCGGATTTTAAATGATGTCAGTTTTGTCCAATTCTAAAATGAGGTACAAATAGAAGTTTTGTGACCAGCCTCAAGAGCTGGGGGAGCAAGACACTACCTAACAGACCTCCCCTAGCACCTCTCCCAAAGTCAAGTGTGCAGAACTCCCAGCTCCTGAAGAGTGAGTCCTCTGAGACAGCAAATGTCTATGGAAGGCTTTCTTCCAGGGGCTCAGCCCAAACTGGGGGTGTCAGCCCTCACTCCTTCTGCCATGCATCTGAGCCTTCAGCAGAATGTCCCAAGCCTGAATGCTACAAACTGCCTGCAAAGTTCAAGCCACCATAAGGTCCCCCTGAGCCAATGAAACACTCTTAGGTGGTTCCCTGTTTCCACCTGTGTGTATTCATCACAACAGCCAGCAGAGTCCTTGCTCAAATGTTCATTCAGACAGCATCAGCCTCCTGCTCACAGCCTCCCATGGCATTTAACAGAGGGGAAACCAAACTCCTCCCAGTATCCAGAGAATCTTGGTGATGTGAGGCCTCAAGGATCTGTCCCCTCCATGAGTGTATTTCCTTCCTTTCTCCCCATCATGCCCACTGTTCAGGGAGCACTGACAGTTTCCTGGGAATGTGAATAGCACATACGCCCTGCCTTCGAATGCTCTCACCCTTGACTTCTTCCTGAAATGTGTCTTCTGAGGAACCCCTGAGAGTTGACATTCTCTGCTAGAATCTAGCTGAGATATCATCTGCGGGGTGGGGGGGAGACTTCCTTAACCATGCTGCCTCACCACCCTATATAAAATAGTGTGCATTTGCACAAGCACACCCATGTGAATGCACCACTTCCTTACATGTTTTATGTTTCTTTACAAACTTCACACACACACACACACACACACGCTTATTTTTCCATCTGTTTTTATACTCCTGCCCCTAACTGGAATATAAACTTCCTGAAAGTACAAAGCTGGTCTGTGTGATTCACTATACCAATGCCCAGAATAGTGTATGACAGATATCAGGTATTTAATAATTACTCTTAGAAATGACAGCATAAATGAATTAGCTCAGGTGTTATAAGAACTGTTTTGCAGTCATCAAAAGGCACTACGATGAAGCTATAAGACCTTCATTTGCAGCAGGTTGTCATGACCTCAGCTGGCAGGTTCCAGCATACAGCCATATTAACTATGGTGTCATGAAAATCGCCCCAGATTGTATGCCTAAATCCTCTATGATCTAGCAAAGGGGACCCCCAACACATACTCTGAAAAGGAGGAGCCATGCCTTAAAATCCATCATGAGGCAAAGATGCTAAGTAAATAATTTATATGCTACCTGTGTTCTTCTCCATGCTAGTGCTGATGTGCTTTAAATATTCTATCCCTCTTGCTTCTTCAACTATGTCTCAGACAGCAATTTCATGCCACACAGAATATGAATCTAATAGGTGAATTTCCATCCAGGGTACAGTTCCCTTAGTATCGATATGGAGAAAAATATAAACCAAATTATAGTAAAACTACCCTTTTTAGGCTTAGAAAATGTAGCAAAGAAGCAAAAGAGTTGACAAACAAATATGCATCTCTACCTCATTTTATGTTACATAGTGTTCAATAGCATATATGCACTGTAATGTATTCAACCACTACCTTGTTATGTATTTTCTAACCACTTTCCATTTTCTTCTGCAAAGCTACAATAAATGTTCTCCTACCTAGCATTACTTTCTTGTGTTTTTATTTCTATAGGTAAGATTTCCCAAGATTATTGCACAAAACATATCAGCATTTTCAAATTTTAAATAATATTTCTAGGTAATTTTCCCAATTGTTTTAGTGACTTACTCTCCCACCAGAAATGTGAAACAGTGTACAATCACCTTATCAATCTCCCCTCACAAAAAAAAAAAAAACTAAGCTCACTACATTTGATTGCAAATATAATAACTCAAAAAAATGATAATTCAGTTTCCCTCTGAAAAACCTAGTCTCACACATTGGATTGTAAATGTGGTAACTCAACACACAGTAATTCATTTTGCAATGTTCATTTTCCTACATTTAGTTAAACGTACTTCTCTAATCTTATTGTCTTATCTCTGTTCTTCCTCTCTGAATTTCCTGGTAGAGTTACTTGTCTTTGCTTTTTTAGTTTATCAGTTGAAGTTCCTTGAGCAGTAGGACCAGTAACCCCTTTTCTTCTGTCTGGTCCTTTCTGTAGTATTCATGTTAACATTTTTTTTTTTTTTTTTGACAGGCAGAGTGGCCGATCTGAAGCCAGGAGCCAGGTGCTTCTCCTGGTCTCCTATGGGGTGCAGGGCCCAAGCACTTGGGCCATCCTCCACTGCACTCCCAGGCCACAGCAGAGAGCTGGCCTGGAAGAGGGGCAACTGGGACAGAATCTGGTGCCCCGACCGGGACTAGAACCCAGTGTGCCAGCGCCGCAGGCAGAGGATTAGCCTATTGAGCCATGGTGCCAGCTCGTGTTAACATTCTATAGAGCCAACACTTTGACCTTACTAATGATACATTTGTCATGCTATATTTTTGATATTCGTATAGTCAAGTATTCCATTTTATGATGACATCAGAGATTCCTGCCTAGATGAAGAATGCTCAATCATCCCCAGGCTATGAAAATATTCCCCTGTAATTTTTTTTTTTTTAAGACAGAGTTAAACAGTGAGAGAGAGAGAGAAAGGTCTTCCTTCCATTGGTTTACCCCCCAAATGGCCTCCATGGCCGGCGCTGCGCCAATCCGAAGCCAGGAGCCAGGTGCTTCCTCCTGGTCTCCCATGCGAGTGCAGGGCCCAAGCACTTGGGCCATCTTCCACTGCCTTCCCGGGCCTCAGCAGAGAGCTGGACTGGAAGAGGAGCAACCGGGACAGAATCTGGTGCCCTGACCGGGACTAGAACCTGGGGTGCTGGCGCCGCAGGCAGAGGATTAGCCAAGTGAGCCGCGGCACCGGCCTCTCTGTAATTTATTCTAAGATGCTATTATTTTGTTTTTATTCAGCTCTTTAATTCAGTATGGCACAATCAATAAACTATGCTGAAATAAAATGAATTGTTGGTCATATGATAAATTTCCATATAAATTTGGATATAGTTTCTATTTTTCCAAGTACTCTGATAGAACCTGACCAGACAGTGGTGCATATACTTTGTCAAATTCCCCAGCACAAAGTTCTCTTAGTATTTTACTAGTTCAAACTCCTAACTTGACCGCACACTTATTGGCACATAGTGTGCAACAGTCATTTTCTAAATACTTTTTACAAATTACTTATTTTACCCTTATATTAATCCTGTAAGGCAAGTATCCACTTGCCCCATTTTCTTTTGTGTGTGTGTGTGTGTGTGTGTAAATGAGTTTATTGACAAAGACACAAGGTCAAGCTCCCTCCACCCTTCCCTAAGACAGACCCCAACAGGAACAGAAGAATCACAGGCATTCACAGAGCTACATTTCTTGTCCCCGCCCCATCGCTCTCCAGAGTCCCACAGTTCACAACACAGGCACATGGATCAGGCTTGGGTGAGGACACTCAGAACTTACCCCATTTTCTATATTCAAAAACTGAATGTTAGAGAATTGACTTGCCCAAGATCCCAAATGTTGGGGCTATAATTCCAGCTTGCAGTGTTGCCTCAGAGTCTTCATGTTCAGCATCTGAATTTATTAATGATAGTCTTATTTTTTTATCTTAAACACTCTACCTATTGCATCACTGAAGGTACAGAGGGAATATTTGAATTGAACAGGAAAAAAACACTAAACTTCTTTCATTATGGAGTCTTATAACATTAGGAAATAATGGTTTCCAATGAGTTTGCTTCTTGAACATCCAGAGTGATTTCAAAACAGGGTCATTTCAGTAGCTACAAAGGAATAGCCCTAATGAGTTCTGCTCAAGAATCTTCTTCTCACCAGGAAATGATTGAAGACAAGGGGCTAACCTCTCATTAATTCCTTATTAACTATTTTAATCAGGATTACATCACTGTCTTCCTCTGAGCACAGACAGTTGCCGGCAGGCTTTGGTGCTCAAATTCATTAAGCTGACAAGGTGGAAAGGTCTGGAGAGCTACAGGGGTCATTCCTGTGCCCCTGCGAGCAGCATTTGGCGAAGACATGATTCTCTCATTTCTCAGAGTGGCAGCCTTCACTTGGGTTTATTGCCACACATCCCTCAGAAGTCTGGCACCAGTGGGTTTTTTAAATTTTTTTTTAAAAAAAGTTCTTTGTGACTGGGAGCATGAAAGCCTTTTAGCAATGTGGGTTGGGACAGACAGAACGCAGCAGCAAGTCAGACAGTTCCAACCGTAGTATAGAGCCCTCATTCATTGTGGCAAATGGAGTCCCTCCCCAAAGTGCCCCCTCCACAGGGGATCCAGCCTCTTCAGATCCAATCACTCTGGAGTGGGACTTGGCCAGGGACCTACCCACCATTTTTAGCCTATGCAATATGGGCAGGACAGGACTGCTCAACTTTAGGATACCTCACTGGACTCAGGCCTAAGTGACAGCAGCACAGGTTTGGTTCAGGGATTGTTGGCTGAGACAATGGCATATGAAAGACCTTCTGGAAGATCATATGGTGTCCTAGATCACACAGGAGATCATGTGCTCACACCCTGGGGAGCAGCTGCCTGGGTTGTCACTTTGCCACTTGTTAGACATATGACCTTAGACCTTATTTAATGCTCCTATGTAGCAATTCTATTATTTCTGAAGCAACATTAACCTAAGTATACCTCTCACAGGAAGATGTAAAGACTGAATGACTTAGTAAAAGAAAATTACTTACATAGCAAGTGTCAAACTAAATGCTAATTCAAATTATTATCACCTTTCTTTCATGAGCCTTCTAGAAAAGAAATTTCTTACCCTTTTTCCTGGGATTTGAAGCTCAGAAGTATAAAGTCAGGAACTGCTGCAGCTACTGTCTGACCCTAAAGTGAACATGGTGGACAGAGAAGTGAGGAGACACAGAATGAAACCTGGTCCTGGAGGTAACCTTTGAGATACAGACCAAGCTGTGCCAGAGCAAGTCCTTTCGTTTGTGGGATATGTGTGTGTGTGTGTGTGTGTGTGTGTATCCCTGTAAATATTCACTCATACACACACACACACGTGGGGAGTGGGGTTGGGGATATGCTGCTGTTTGACCTATGAGGGGATCACATCTCAATAAACCCATGGCAAGTGGAAAATATCATACATCGAAAATGCATTAAATACGCCTAACCTATGGAACTTTCTACCTGAGCAGCACAGCACCAAGTATTTCCCCCTCATGGTCATGAGCTATGCTCACTGCCACTGTCTAACAATACAAAAGCCATACAACATATCCCTGTCCCAGAAAAGTATTAAAATTCAAGATCCAACATAAAATTTTAATTTAAGGTTTATCATTTTTGTACTGTCATGAAGTGAGAGAATTGACAGATGTATGCACACACACAACTTGCAGAAATCATCCCCATTCCTCTTTACCTTTCAAAATTTTTTTAACTTTTATTTAATAAATATAGATTTCTGAAGTACAGCTTTTGGATTACAGTGGCTTTTTCTCCCCATAACCTCCCTCCCACCCTCAACCATCCCATCTCCCGCTCCCTCTCCCATTACATTCACATCAAGATTCATTTTCAATTAGCTTTATATACAGAAGATCAATTTAGTATATATTAGGTAAAGATTTCAACAGTTTGCACCCACACAGAAACACAAAGTGTAAAATACTGTTTGAGTACTAGTTATAGCACTGATTCACATTGTACAACACATTAAGCACAGAGATCCTACATGGGGAGTAAGTACACAGTGACTCCTGTTGTTGATTTAACAATTGACACTCTTGTTTATGGCGTCAGTAATCACCCGAGGCTCTTGTCATGAGCTGCCAAGGCTATGGAAGCCTTTTGAGTTCACCAACTCCAATCTTACTTAGACAATGTTATAGTCAAAGTGAAAGTTCTCTCCTCCCTTAAGAGAAAGGTACCTCCTTCCTTCTGGCCCATTCTGTCTGCTGGGATCTCACTCACAGAGATCTTTCATTTAGGTTTTTTTTTTTTTTTTTCCAAGGTGTCTTGGCTTTCCATGCCTGAAATACTCTCATGGGCTTTTTAGCTGGATCCGAACGCCTTAAGGGATAATTTTGAGTCAAAGTGCTGTTTAGGACATCTGCCATTCTATGAGTCTGCTGTGTATCCTGCTTCCCATGTAGGATTGTTCTTTCCTTTTTTATTCTTTCAGTTAGTATTAGCAGACACTAGTCTTGTTTATGTGATCCCTTTGACTCTTAATCCTATCATTATGATCAACTGTGAACTGAAACTGATCACTTTGACTAGTGAGATGACATTGGTACATGACACCTTGATGGGATTGAATTGGAATCCCCTTGCACGTTTCTAACTACTGTTTGGGGCAAGTCCGAACCTTTCAAAATTATAAATCGATCTATCAAGAGCCCCTGAAATAATATCCCATTTTTTACTTCCTTACTCATATGATTGCTTTGACCAAAAGTGTACATGAACTCACAACACCCTTCTCTGATTTCTAAATATTTGAATGAATATTTAATAAAATGTAGAGGCCAGAATTGTGTCACAGAAGATTAAGCTGTGGGAGATACTGGCGTCTCATATTGGAATGCCAGTTCAAATCCTACCTGCTCAGCTCCTGATCCAGCTTCACACTAATGCACGTAGAAGAAGTGGACCAAGTAGTAGGGCCTCTGCCACCCATATGGCAGAACCAGATGATTCTGGGCTTCTGGTTTGGATCTGACCTAGCCCTGGCCATTGTTGTCATATGAAGAGTGAACCAGTGGATGGAAGATTTCTGCCTTTTGCTCTTTAACACTCTACCTTTCAAATAAATCAAATGAATTTTAGAACACTGAAATTTATTGAAACTATAAGTAATGAAGACAGATATCACCTTTGTTTTTCACATAATATATTATAAGCTTAAGTAATTTAATTTTTGTAAAGTCTTTTAAAACCAACTGTAAATATTTTTGGAAATTTAAGAATTGATTCTTACAGCTTGGTGCAAGCCAGACAGCATACCATTGTCCACTTTCTAATGACACTTCTAGAATATGGAAATAAACGAGTAAACATAACAGATGTAAAATAATTAAATGTGCAATGCAATCAATATGATGAAGGAAAAAAAGTAGGATTTGAGCATATAGAACTTCATGAAAATAGGATTATTTTAAATAACAAACACTCTTCAATGGAGTGGCTATTCTTCAAACAAATGAAACAAGGAGCAACAGATGTAAAGGTTTAAAAAAAAAAAAACAGTACATTGCATGTAGCCTATGCAAAGTCCCTCAGGCAGGGTGCAGCTTCATGTGTTCAGTGAAGAGAAGGAAGGCCCATGTGATTACAATGAAATGAGTAAGACAAGATGCTAGGAGAAGTGATTCAAGAGGCCATCGAGGTCCAGGTCATACAGAGCTTTGTAAGCTATGGTGAGGATTTCCACTTTTTTTTTTAAAGATTTTTTATTTCCTTGAAATGCAGAATATAAGAGAAAGAGAAAGACAGAGGTAGAGAATCTTCTATCTATTGATTCACCCCCCAAATGGCTACAGCAGCCATGGCTAGTCTCTCATGTGGTTGGCAGGGGCCCAAACACTTGGGCCATCCCCTCCTGCTTTCCCAGAAGCATTAGCAGGGAGCTGGAGTGGAAGTGGAGCAATTGGAACTTGAACTGGTGCCCAAATGGGATGCCATTGTTGCAAGCAGCAGCTTAATGTGCTGTGAGAAACATTAGCCCTGAGGAGTACAGGCCAAGAACTTACTGGAAGGTTTTGTGTAGGGAGCAGCACCATTTCACATATTTTAGAATTTTATACCCAGAAGCTTATGACTAGATAACAAATGTGCAGTGTAGTGGTAATAGATTTTAGCTGGAAGACCAGAGAGGAGGTAATTGCTGTATTCAGAAGAAAGCTAACAGTGGCCTGGACTAACTGGTAGCAACACAGGTGGAGTTAAGTCCTGAGGATCCAGATATGTTTTTGAAGGAAGAGACTCTCTAATGAAACATGTTTTAACTGGGGCGGTATGGGAAAAGAGAAAAAGCAAGAATAACACATCCATCTTTGGCTGAAGCAACTATGTGAATGTTGATGTCATTGACCAACAGCAAAGATAAAGGAAGAACAATTTGGGGACAGAGGGGTAATAAATTGAGTTTTGAGTGATAAACAATTTATGTTTGTCCGTTAGACATACATGTAGAGTTGTTGGGTTCATGGTTGGAATCAAGAGAGACCAACACTGGAGATTTTAATTTGGGATTTCTCAGCATTTATATCGTATGTATGGTGATAGGATTAGATAAGACAGGTAGAGAGCAAACAGAAACAAGGAAGAGAGATAGGTGCTAGGGTACACTAATACTTAGAATTAAGGGAAATGAGGATTATCCCCAAAGGGATTTAATGAATGATAATAGCAAAGAGAAGAGGACAAGCAAAGACTGGAATCCTCAAATCCAAGGGCTGCAGATGTGTCTAGAAGAAGGAATGCTAAACTCTGTCAAGTACTGATGAAAGGTCAAATATGAAGAGAATGGAGAATTGGCCATTGATGGACAACAGGGCAGTGGATGGTGACATCAACCACAGCAGTGCCTGGGGAGCTGTGAGGATGTAGAACTGATGGGCGTGGGTTGAGTAGGGGACCGAAAACTGAGCACAGGGAAGCAGTGAACTTAAACTGCTCTTTGGAGACAGCTGCTTCAAGTAGAAGCAGAGAAAATTGAGAGGAAGGTATTTGTGTGGTCTTGAAATGGTATTTTAGTTTGGTTTTCATGAAACTTAAAGATACAAAATGATGGATGATAGGAATAATTCAGGCAGAGAGAGAGGGAAAGAGAGAGAGAAACTGATGCTTGGAGGAGAGGAATATTTTTAGGAACAAATTCCCCGAGTAGGCAAGAGAACACAAGATCAGTACCTAAGAAAGATCTGTCCTAAATTTGGAAAGGAGCAATTCCTCCACTGAGACAGGAGGGCAGGTGGAGTGCGTGAGTGTCAGCACATGTGAGCTGAAAGCAACACTGGTGGCTAGAGAGGATGCTCCAGTTTCACTGAGAAGAAAACAAGCAACAAGAGGAGAAAGAAGATGAAATTAGAGGCAGAATCACGGTATAAGCAATGTGGTAGAATAAAGACTCCTGAGTTTCCACCTTGGTTTCCCTCAGTTTGTGCAATGGCTTTTTTTTTTAATAAAGGACTTTGTATCTTGTTATTTTTTTTTTATGAACAGGGCATCTGTTTGACTTCCCCCAAAACATCACCACATTGATTGACATCCTGAATATCCTCAAAGCTATTTTACAACAATTCTCTCCCCAACCCCCATGAAACTCAAGCATCTGAAACTGCAATCTTTTCAACAGCCATTGGATATACCTAGTAGAATCTTTACCATGTGAGAGTCTGACAGTTTGTGAGAAATGAAGAGCACATAGTTCCTTTTCCTATCATGCTCCAAGTCTACTGGATTAAGAGAAGGAGAAGAAAATGATTATTACAATATGTAATACAAAAAGGGAGAAAAAAAACAAATGCTTGGAGTTTAGTGAATTCTTCCACAAGAACAGATAACATTTTTTTAAAAAATGGGTGCCAGAAGGAAAAACAGCCATAGATAATATATTAACAAATCAGTGTGGTCATGTTCCAATTAAATGTTGTTTATAAAAATAGGCTGCAGGATAGCCTATTATATAAATTATGGCACAATAAGCCATAATTTGCTAATCCCTACTCTAGAATAGAATCTTCTATGAGAAATACGATCTGGGTCACACATACACTAACTTTTCTAGTAGTCACATTAAAAAGTACAAAGAAATAGATTAATCTTAATTATATTTAATCCTACACTCCCCAAATATTATTTTAACATTTTTATTAGAGGGGCCTTGACAATTTTAACTGGTAATTGAAAGAGAAATGGGTCTATTGGTA